CTTTTGGGTGGGCTCGTTTTGGGTGGGCTCTTAAGGGGTTCATGATCAAGGACGATGTTCCTACGGCGCACGTAGGGCCTCTGCAGGGTGACAGCATTGGCAGTCAATTGGCGGGGCCACAAGACCTGACATGCGCTGGGGGCGCCTGATGCACTCTTCGCCTCAGCCGGCCTGTGGGCTGAGATCCTAACCAAATTCCGAGAATGTCTCTGAACCCTTGGCGATCTCCAGTTCTGGCACGAAGCAGGGCGCAACGTCTGCGATGCTGCCCAACCTGCTCAGCTGCATAACAAGTGCATAGTCTTGCATTTGTGCTGTGTTGAACACCTGCTTGGGCGACGAAGCATTCCCGGCACCTCCGGCACAAAGCTCACTTGTCAACTCGACACTGGCAAATCTGCATCACCCATGTGTGAACCTCCGATTTGTCGGCATCTGTCTCGGCAGGCCTGAAGTGGCTACACCTTTTGCAGCTGTGAGGCACCCACTACGTTTTTTCGTCGCGAAAAGTATCTTGCTTCGAGCCTCGGGTGCGAATAGAATGCCATCTTGTCACAGCCTGTGGGATACGACCTCAGCAAGCAAGGCCCTTGCGACCAGTCCTGAAGTTTATTGCCGATGTTGCAAGTGAACTCAATTGGGATTCGATTTTACACCTGCCTGTGGCTGGCGTTGCCGTGTTGTCAGCTTGCTCCAAGCCGCTTAACTTATCTTCCTGGGTTGTTTCTTGCTGCTCCCACCTTCAATCCCATCGGCGTTTTGGGATTCCTAACCCAGCGACGAGCTAGACTGAGGCTGCACGAACTCAGAAGTTCCTACCCTCCCATGAATAACAAGTCCCCTTTCCCCAAGCGGCACTCCAAGAACCGGGCCTTGTGGCAGGGACCTCGGTGAACAAAATGCTTCTCGCGAAAACTCCGCTGCAAGTGCTGCTAAGGAATCAACCAAACTGTCCCGCAACTCTTCCTTCCCAGGACGGGGCTGCCATGTCATATCCTTGCAACAGCGATGTTTTTCGCTTTTCAGGTGCAGCTTCAAAAAACTGGATCTTGCATGTCACAACCGAAAATGCATACCTTGTGCACGTAAGGCTGCCGCCGACCTCACCACAGTTGCATCCCAGTGTTGGAACATGTCTGGCTCTCGCTGTCGAACCGAAATGCAAGCACACAAACACGCGGCTGAAACCGAGCTGATTGCAAGCGACCTTATGATGACCATTAGGTTCAGGTAGATGGCCGACTTTTGCAACTCGACTCTTGTTGGCTGTACCCGACGGGCCGTGAACCGGCGAGACGTGAACGGTCAAACTGTCAGTGCTTCATCCGGTGCGAGCGGCTTCAGCACCTGTTGCTGCCGTCAACACAACTCACACCTCGCTGTCCCACTGAGCACTGTGCATCGCGGCCTCGCAGTTGCCGAAACCGCTCACAAGCGCCTCGGCTTTAGCAACATTTAAGAACTGCGTGCGAAACTCTCGACCGTGTGGCCATAGGGGACAATCTGAAACTTTGAATGCTCTCCCATTGCTGCTACAGCACAGCCGCGCTGTCTTGTCATTCCGGACTGTGACGGTTGTCAAGCCGACGATTGCAGGTGGCAGCAGCACACACAAGCAACATGTGGCTTTTGCTGACACCCATCCCGCAATTCGACATCCCCTGAGCTGCGACAGAATTGCAAAGAAGTTTGGACATGAAGCACAAAAACCCGATGCAGTTGCATGTGCCAAGCTGCAAGGATGTGGTAACTGAAATTATCGCGGATGCGGGGATTGCAATCCTCCACAACTCCTCGCCCATCACAGGAACCACGCCCGCAGAACGTGATGCTGCTAAAACGCCACCTCGAGCAACTGCAATCACGGAAGAAGTAGCACATCGAGATCATCACCCGTTGACGCTTTTCAGGCAAGTTGCAACAGAGACTCGCGAAACCGACCAAGCTGTAGAGGCACAGCAAGCGGTCTTCGTAGAAAAGAAAAGCAGCCGCTCCCACGTGAACATACTGCCAAACGCTATCCACAACTACCTCAGGTCTGGGCACGCGCTGCCGAATGTGAGCTTGGGCTGGCAATTAACCGAGGTCTCAGCCGACACGATATCTTGTATTGATCTTGATTTGGATGCTGAAGGTGCCGCGTCGCTAGAAGTCGGTAGCCCTTCTTCACTGGCCATGCCGTCCTTCGAATCGTACAGAGTTTGTTCAGCTTAAGTTTCCGATTACATTGTTAGCATGTGCTCCGAGAGTTTCAATAGCGCACTAGTTGCAAGCCAGGCCTGTGCGGCAAGCTGCCTGCATCCATGTACAATTTCCCTTACTGAGCCACGAACTGTTCGGATGCCGACAAGCCCCACCACGCTCAGCATAACCGTAAGCTCATCCGAAAGGGCGACCCGCCAAAGGAGTCAAGGTGCTAGTTGCCAACGTGTACCACACCTTTCCTTTTCGACGGTACGAGTACGACGGGGGTCCGGGATAGTTCGGGTTCAGGGTTTTTCGTTTGCTGTCAAAAACATCTCGGTTAGGCATGGCAAAGGGTTCAGAGCTTAGGGTTTGAGGTTTCGAGTGGGGGGGTATGTTTTTTGTTGTTACGCTTTTCTCTCCTGCCCGCTGTCGGTGGGTCCGCAGTCAGTCTAAGCCTCGTCTTTCGCAGCGTGTCCGGCCAGTTTTTTTCCACACCACCAGTTTGCAACACCACGAAAAGTGTTCGGTCCGGCCACGGTGCATTCTGCATTCAGTCTACGGGTCGTGCATGAGTGGCTCGGGAAACATAATTGTGGTGGCCATGGGGGTGCCGAGGGGTGTAGACGCGCTGCGCGCAAATGCAGTTAGGATATGCGGGCCAGCAACTGGCAAGGGGCGCGATCCATTTTGGCATTCCAGACGCGGCGTCGTTGGTCGCATTTCGGGGAACGGTGGAAGACCGTGCGCAATGGTTGCTCCGGGACTTCGAAGCCCAGCGCGCCGCACCTGCCTTGCGAGCCGATGTTTGACACTGCTGGGCATGGAAAGGTACAGCTTTTGGGCGCGGGGCGCCCCTTCTGCCAGGTTCCTGGCTTCGTTCCTGATGATTCCTGGTTCTATCTTCATTTTAGTTGTCAGTTCCGGCTTCGTTTTGATCATTCTTGTCTTCACCCCTGATTCAATCATCATTTTGTTTCGCATTTCCGGTTTCGTTTTTTATGATTCCTGTCTTGCTCATGATCGTCAAATTTCATATGTTCATGCTTGCTTGATGTTTTTTGTGTGTTCCTCGTAAAAACCATTGCTACTCCACAGACATTCGCAAAATTGACCCGCTCAACCCAGATGAAACTTGAACCCTTTCAACTGACTTACTAAACTTCGACACTTCTCTACATCCCTCTAAACCTCGAAGCCCTAGACCCCATCAGTTCGAAACGATCACTGAATGATCGCTGTCATGTTTTTTCCCGGACTTTCCGTCTGCATGACGAGGGTTTCCCTAATCAGACCTACGGCTCCTATGGCCCGACTGTGGCTAGCGGGGTGGCAGTCGGCTCGCCCCGCTGCTTCGGCGACGTCGAGAACACGGTCTAGCTCCTGGCCTGGTAGCTGGCTCGCGTGTGGTGGTGCGGGCCACGGCCTTCCGGGTGCCCGTGCTGCTCACGGCCGACTCTCACCCACGCCCGTTCGACGATCTTTGCTTGCCGAGCCAAGAGCCCAGTGCGAGGGCAGGCCAAGGCATGGTCGCCGAAGACGTCGACGAGCCCGCCGCATCCAAAAGAGAGGGCCGCACCGATTTAGACGGAGGAGGAGTGGGAGGCAGCGCGATGCAAGCTGCATCGTTTGCCCGGACGGTGTGGTGGCTGGCTCGGCTGGGATGGCGGTTAACCAGGCACCCGCGTGAGGCCCAGCTTGAGACCGCAAGAGCGCGCAAGGAGAGAGGCTTGTGGTCAGAACGTGAAACATGCTAATCAAATTGTCATATACATCAAGCATCCAAGCCAACAAAGATAACCAGACGACAACCACGCAGGACCAAGCGAGCAACGCTTGCGGAAGTGTTGGTTGCGAGTTCGCGACGCACTGCGCTGCCAGCCATGCGCCCAGTCACCAAGGTCGTTGCTGCGTCCTTTGATGTCCCTTCCATCCAGTTGGCGGACGCCTGGCTCGGCCAAACGGCGCGGTACGGACCGCACTGGCTAGGCGTAAGCCTCCAAGCGACGCTGGGAGAGTCGCCAGTTTCCGTGCGCCGCGACTCTGCCGAGGCAGGCCTGCCTGCAAGGTCTTCCATTCGGCACGCCATTCGGCGTCGTCATGCGCTTGGCCGTAATCACTTTAGTCTGACGCGGCCAATATGCGGACAGACGCTCACTCCTTTTGGCAGCAGATTCGCTTGCAGGTCCTGTAGGCAGGTAGACGACCCACCTGCCTGCAAATCTGGCACCCCCCCAATGGCTGCACATGGGCAGCAAGATATCGCACAGCACGCCCACGGCGCGCCCCTTGCCCTGGGGTGGGCGGGCGGGAAGTTCAAGCAGCTAGCAGCTGTGAGTTTGTGATGCTGACACCGGTCCTGAATCCAGGCAAACCTGCGAAAGCACATGCGCAACAAGAGTTGATGCGTAGCCTATAGTGATTGTACGGCATGTAAACGTGAGGTGCCCCGTCGGCTCTGTCCAGCAGCGGCACCGTGCGGAGCGCATGGTTGGCCCACGGCGATAGCGAGGAGGAGCCACGCACACTGTAAGTCAGGGAGGCGAGGCAATTGGCTCAAAAGCTCTGGTTCAGTGCGCATCCGGCTTTCTGCCCATGATGCGATGAAATGTGGATGGCCGATGGGTGTGCCCAGGATCTTCAGGCCGCGCCCGGAGAGTTGTGGTACACGGTTTGCTCTCGCAGCCATCGTTCGTCAAGCAGTGCGCTCGGCCCACTTATGTATACCATCCTGTTCAACAGCATTTCCACGACTGTGCGCTGGGCTTGCCACGGTGTGACGCTATAGGTGGTCCCAGTACGCCCAAAGTGACGCTCTAGCTATATGCTGACGATTTGGCAGTGTTGGCAGACCGCTCTTTGAATTTAGATGCCATTGGGGCTTGGGGAGCCCGTGGGAGATTCTCTTTTGGGATTGGACCTGACAAGACTGCTGTCCTGGTTGTGGGTTGTAGAACGTCTAATTTCAACTTCATCCTTGATGATGTCCCTGTGCCCGTTGTCTCGGAGTATTGTTACTTGGGGGTCGTCTTCCAGTCTTCCCGGAAGTGGAGCAAGCACGGTGAGCGTCCGCAAGCGAACAGCGGCCGTAAATTTTTCATCAGTTGAGGTGGGCGGAAATCGCCAACTGCACACATGCTGCCGACTGCCACAAGGCGGCACCGTCGAGCTCCGGGTTCGTGTCGCGGCGCTTGCGCCTGGCAGCAGCCTCAAACTGAATGGCGCGGTTGGACATCAGCATACATCAGCCAGTGGCTGGGCCTCGCCCCGACACGTAACTGGCGAGACCGTGGTGGCATCGAGCGCGAGCTGGGAGCCATGCCGCAAAGGGAGGCCGTTGGCGACGACCTCGTGCGCCGTTCGTCGCCGACGGGCGCTCCGTGCGACCGGCGCGCCAGCTTCGTGGCACACTCGGGCGACTGCATGCTCGAGTGGGAGGGCTCGTGTTGCCAGCACGCCAAAGGGGGCGCACGCAGACCGATGGTCGCCGTGCGGGTCGAGCAGCTTGTGGCAGCGGCGGTGACAAAGCGTTAGCGGCAGGCAGGCAGGCGCACGAGGCGAAGGAGCAACACCCGGAAGAGGGCGATGGCGAGGTCGTAGCGAGTCGGCAAAACCGAGATTGCACGAGCAGCAAAGGGCCCAGCTTGCGACAGCAGCAGTGTGCGGGATGCAGAGGAAAGGTTAGCAAGATGCACCTCGCACATGCGCTCATAGCCTGCTCGGAAGGCAACCCGCTGCCAACCCGGGAGTGGGTCGGCGGGCGTGCGCATGCTCCCAAAGCGCACCCGCCAAAGTGTCATACAGCGGCCGTATGCGCTCAGGCGGCGTTTCCGCTTCTGGTCTTCTTGCTTCCGCTTCTGGGCCTCTTGCTTTAGCTTCCGGAGCTTCCGCTTCTAGTCTTTGAGCTCCCGCTGCTTGTTGTCCTGCTATTTGATCTTCCGCTTTTTGAGCTTCCGCTTCCGCTCTTTTCGCTTCATCTTCTTGAATTTCCGCTTCTGGTGTGTTTGCGTCTGTTTTTCTCGCACCTGTTTCCGTCCGCACCAGGAGTCGGAAGGGGCACGGGCTACGCCAGCCGCTTGGGGGCTGGTCGCGGGCTGCCTGCCCGCCAGCAATAAAGCCAGGCGTTCATTGGCCATGCTGGCAATGTTGTTTGTCGGCCCCAGGGCTGGTTCGCGGACGCGGCGGGGCCGAGCTGACTGCCGCTTGGAAGTTGGAGCGGAGGAACCTGCGCTGTACGCCAAACGAGCGCGAACGCTAACCATGCAGATGCAAAAAAATCGCAAATGAATGCTCTCACCGCTTCCTGTCCTGTAGCCAGCCGGAGCCGCGTTGACACCTATGTACGTGTCGCGACAGAACTCTGCTCACTCTACCACGCCGTGCCACCACTACCGCTAGCAGCTGATTGGGCGCTAGCTCCAGAAAACTGTCCAAATCGGGGCATGTCGGGGCATGCGAGCTGGGATAACTGGCACCACCATGCGAACCACATCCAGGTGGATGTATTCGGTGAAGGCACCCCTCGGTCAGCGTCGCTTGATTCATGGCCCGCAAGGGCAAGTCGGATTGTTTTTTTTCGCGGGCCTTTCCTTGCCCCCGGCGGGAAGACTGCTGGCAACTGGCCGGGTTCCGTCGATGCGAGTTTCTTCGAAGACCTTGCTGGGGCTGGCCATCAACCTTGGCGGTGCCCACGAGGGAAAGACCAAAGAGACTGGCACCGAAGGTTCCGGCGGCAGAAAAAGCGAGCAAGGCAGACCGCAACTGTCCAGGCACAGCACGGGCAAGGCAACGAGTGAGGAGGTAAACAATTGGGCAGTTGGACTCCAAGCGGCCACCAACCGCAACTGCAAGGACAACAAGCCGGCACCTTTGCGAATGCGGCTAGGTGCACTGTTTATAAGCATGCAAGGGGAAGAGCGCCAGTGCTCCGCTGTGTCGAGGGGGGGCACGAAGGAGGCATCGACAGCAAGCTGTGCTCCGTCCCTATGCGGGT